TTGGGGCTGGAGAGATGGCTCAGTGGTTAAGAGCTTTTTAGCTCTTGCAGAGGACCCAGGTTCAGTTCCCAGCACCCACAGCCACCTGTTCCAGAGGATCTGACAACCATCTTCTGGCCTCTGAGAGCACCAGACACATGGTACCCATATGTAAACACTCATACACATAAAATAAAAATATATAAATCTTTTAAGGATAAAACAAATTCAATTAGTTCATACTTATGGTGTAAATAATAGAATAAACGTGAAGGGAAGTGATGTCTCATAGACTCCAACTAGTGAGCAGAAACAAGACAGAGAAATTTATTATTAGAGCTTCACAGAAATTATTGAAATCAAGATTCACCAATGACTGCTAACATTAATGAGAAAAAGTTAAATAGAAATAGGACATTCATACCCTAAAAGTGTCTCCTTCAAAATACTCAGTAAAAAATAAAGTGACATGCCGGGCGTGGTGGCACATGCCTTTAATCCCAGCACTTGGGAGGCAGAGGCAGGCGGATCTCTGTGAGTTCAAGGCCAGCCTGTCTACATAGTGAGTTCCAGGACCCCTGGGGCTACAGGGAGACCCTGTCTCAAAAAGACCAAAAAATAAATAAATAAATAAATAAAGTGACAAACAGTAGTGCCACAGAAGAGGACCACAGTGCATCCATGCTGTGGTGACAGTACAGTGCTGAGCACAATTGGCTTGTATGTAGACCCTGCCCTAATCAAGTAATTCAAGTTTGATCATGAATATGGCCAGGGCTTGGAGTGGTGGCATATGCCTTTAATCCCAGCACCCAGGAGGTAGAAGCAGGCAGATCTCTGTGAGTTCTAGGCCAGCCAGGGCTCCAGAGTAAGACCCTGTCTTTAAAAAAAATATTACCAGGTGTAGTTGTGCATGTATGTAATTCCAGTACTCTGGAAACTGAAGCAGGAGGATCTCAAGTTCAAGGCCAATCTGTGCAACGTAATAGGAACCTCTTTGAAAAAAAATGAAGAACATAAGATCCAAAAGAAAAAGACTTATAGACATTATCTATCTTTTGAGTCCATACATAGAAAAGGTCCATAGTGGGTTTGAGTTCATAAAAAGAGAGATTTCCGGGAATGGGCCCAACTTGGTTAGCTGAATGCTAACAATGACAGGAGCAGCTGCAGTCACTGCCCATGGACCTTAGAGAAGCAAACTGTACAGGGCCAGAGAACATCAGTGACCTGCTGGGCAGGACGGCCTCAGTATAACAACTACAGAATGAACTGCCAATAACTTAAGCAAGTTTCAAAGAGGACCGCAACTCTAGGTGAGAATGCGTCTCACCAATGCCTTAATTCCACATTTAAGCTGCTGTTTGTGGTAATTTATTACACAATAGAAAACCACACAACCAGGGACTGGAGAGATGGCTCAGCAGTTAAGAGCATTGGCTGCTCTTGCAGAGGACCCAGGGTCAGTTCCCAGCACCCACATGGCAGCTAACAACCATCCATAACGCCAGCTCCAGGGGAATATGATGCTATCTTCTGGCCTCTGTGAGCACTGCCTCACATATGGTGCACTTACATACGTGCAGGCAATACACTCATACACATAAAAATAAATAAAATATTTTTAAAGGAAAAAAACACACAATCAAACTGTACTCTTCAAAACTGTCAAGCTCACAAAAGGAATTCTCACAGACAGGAAGAGTGAGATTAAGAGTGAGATTGGGGGAGATACAGGAGACATGACATTAAATAGAACTTGTGATCCTAGAATAGAAAAAAATGACTCTAGAGAAAAGTAACTTCCATCTGAATAAATCCTATAGTTTAATTAAAAGAACTGAACTGATAATTCCAGAATATTCATCTTCTATGTAATAGTAAGATTTTTTTTTTGAGACAGTTTCCCTGTAGTGCCAGCTGGCTGGAACTCACTATGTAGACCAGGCTGGACTTGAACTCACAGAGATCCACCTGCCTCTGCCTTCTGAGTACTGGGACTAAAGGCGTTTGCCACCTCGCCCAGCTTGTAACAATATTAATAAAGTTAGGTGAAAGAACAGTCTCTGTTCTGCTTTTGAACTCATAAATCTGATCTGACTTCAAAGTAAAAAGTGAAAATATGCCTATTTCTGAGTTATATCCACCAAAAAGTCCTGGGAATAATGATCAGACCTTGCACTTACCTTTCCTCTGAATACCACTTCTACCACTGAGTGGTAATAGGGCACCTTGGCACAACAACTAATTTCAGGCATGTGACAAGACATTTACAAGTTGAGCCTTGCATTAGCCAGGGTTCTCTAGAGGAAGTCATTCTGGAAGCACATAAGTCCCAGGATCTGGGGGTGAGCTGACAACCTGAAGCGCCAACAGTGTCATTCTGTTCTGAGTCTGAGGAAAGCCAGTAGATGCCATAACGTGCTGGCTGAACACAAGCAGACCTAAGGTCCTGGAAGAGGCACAGGCTGTCTGCACACCAACAGACTTAAGGTCCTGGAAGAGCCAATATTTCAGCTTGAGTCCAAGGCATAAAAAATAGATGTCTCAATTTGAAAGCAGTCCACAGCTCCAAGAATTCTGTTGTTTACCAGCCCTTTTGTTCTGTTCAAGTCTTCAACTGACTGGATAAGATCCATCCTCACTAGGGAGGGCTGACTGCTTTCTGAACATACTGATTGAAATGTTACTCTTATTCTCAAACACCTAGAATAATGTTATCTGACGGACCAGTTCAGTTGACACATAAAACTAACCATTATAAGATATTTTGTTCAAATAGAAAGCAAGAAGATATTAAGACCAGTGTGTCTTGCCAAAAGAACACAGAAGCAATGTAAAAGAGCATCCATTGGCCAAGGACAGGACAATTTCAGAATCAAAAGACATTAACAGGCCAGGCGTGGTGGTGCACACCTTTAGTCCCAGTATTCAGGAGGCAGAGGCAGGTGGGTCTCTGTGAAATAGAGGCCAGCCTGGTCTACATAGCAAGTGCCAGGTCAGCTGGGGCTACAGGGAGACACTGTTTCAAAAAGATTTTTTAAAAAACCCGAAAGATGTAACAAGGGTCTGGTGAGATGGCTCAGCAGATAAAGGTACTTGTCACTGAGACCTAAGACCTGAGTTCAGTCCTTGAGATTCACATGGTTTAAAAAGGAAACTTTGCAAGTGGTCCTCTGACTTCTATACATGCACCATAGTGCGTGCGTGCACACGCACACACATGCACACCAACACACACACAATAAATAAATATAATTTAAATTTTCTTATAAAATAAAGGGGGACTGGAGAGATGGCTCAGTAGTTAACAGCACTGGAAGTTCTTACAGAGGACCTGGATTCAGTTCCCAGCATCCACATGGCAGCTAACAACCATCTGTAACTCCAGTTCCAGGGGATCTGACACCCTCTTCTGGCCTCTCAGGGTATTGCATGCATGGGTGCACTTACATGCAGGCAAAACACTCATCCACATTAAAATATATTTATATTCCTTTTCAGTAAGGGCAAATAACTTCACAAGAGTTGGACCTCAATCCAAATCATGTCCTTCTAGCTAGTTTCCTTTAGAGGAGACAAAGAGATAAAGGCACAAATTAAGAAGCCAAACAGATAAAAAATATGGAATATTCTATAAGACAACTGGCTCCATATTTTCAACAAGTTAAAAAAGTTAAAAACATTATTAACAAGGATTGAAGAGGGGCTGTTTTAGATTAGCAGGGCTCAGACACAAAATATAAATATGCTGTATCAACTTTGCTGGGTCCGAATGAAAACAAGCCAATTACCAAAGGTAGATTTCCACCCAATGTGGAACTTTAAGGGATCTCTCAGGGAGAAGGTGACATCATGGCAGTCTGTGAGAGAAAACAGTCTATTTTATTAGATGCATACTCTAGTTTGCTGGAGAGAGTTGGTGTACCTGGGATTTTCTTTAAAGGCGAAGCAAGAATAAAAAGAATAGGGAAAAAAGAACGGCCAGGGTTTGCTTGCTCAGAGTTTTTAAAAGGTGGTGTCTAAACTACTGGAACTAGAACGCGGAAGGAGAGCCAGCCTTCCCAAGCCTTCATTTTGCTGTTCTCCACTCTGCCCTGCAAGAGGCTGGACATACAGCATGCTATGCTCAAAAGGTAGCAAAATATGAGAACATATTTCACATTTGTGAGGGCTCATTTTTCATATATCTTACTTCCTGTTTCCTTTTTTGTACTACAGTCCCCTAAAAATTTAGAAATACCTTTGAAAGGTTATCACCATACATCAGGAACTAAACCCATGTATCTGGTGCATGAAATTTTCAAGGCAGCATTTCAAAAATAAAAATATGAGGGGGCTGGAGAGATGGCTCAGTGGTTAAGAGCTGCACTGGCTGCTCTTGCAGGGAACCCAGGTTCAACTCCTAACACCATGATGGTGGCTAACAACTATCTGTAACTCCAGTTCCAGGGGAATTTGACACCCTCTTCTGACCTCTACTGGCATTGTACGACACAGGTGCACTTACACACATGCAAGCAATATACTCATACACATAAAATTAAAACTAATAAATAAAATATTTAAAATAAATAAAAATATGAATACCTGACATATGTGTCCATTTTCTATCACTTAATAATGTGTATGCTTAAGTTCAGTAAGTTTTTAAAAGGAACTTTAAAGTTTTGTCATCAGAAATTTATAGAAAGCAACTCAATTGTATTTACATGAAAAAGCTGTTACTGTGAATGCATATTATCACAGACTAAGGTAGGCTTTACATTTACTAGTTATTAAAGCAGTCCTAAGTAGGAGATAATATTATTCCAGTTTCACAGATGAAGCCTAAAAAGTACACAACGTCTCCAAAGCTCCCCAGCTAAAATACATCAACACTCTGAAAGACTCCATCTAGTCTCAAACGCCAGTGCCTCGCCACTAATCACCTGCTGCTGTTCGGCATCCACTTGACTCCAAGACTCTTTCAAAATTCCCAAGGTACCAGTGAAGAAAACTTAACGAATACTGAAGCTTACCTTTCGGATGGCTTCTTCCATATCCAACTCAAACTGCTCGTTCTGCAGCACTCTGAGGAATCTTTTGCGCTCAACCCGCTCATCGCTTTCATTCTGCACTGCCTGGTTCCTAGCTTGACTCTCTAATTTCTTTAGTGCTTGGACATGCAAGGCTTTTCGGTAGTTTTCATCGACTAACTTCTGGTGCCTTTCACTAAAGCTCAAAACTCTCCTTTTGGAAGCCTTTGAGGGAGGAAAAAGTACACATCTTCAGTATTCCAAGTCTCCCTTTCCAGGTACTTTAATGCCAAAACCCTATAACAAGTAATATAAAAAATGGCTCTGTGGTTGAGAGCGCTGGCTGCTCTTGCTGAGGATCCAAGTTCAGTTCCCAGCACCCACATGGTGGTTCACAACTATCCATAGCTCTAGTTCCTGGGGATGTGATCACCTCTTCTGGCCTCGGCGGTCACTGCATGCACATGGTGCACTTACAAGCAGTCATAACACTCAAACATATAAAAATAAAGGGTACATTTAAAATGTTACAGATCGCCCACCAGCTGCTATTTGTTCAAGACAACACTTAAAAATCATAGGTCCGAAGTGTCGTTGGCTCCCTTCCTGAATTCAGAGTATACCTAAGATTAAACAAGGTGGATTAACAGTTTTGTGATTAAATAGGTACTAATATTCCTTATTTTGTTGGTGAGACATGAAAAGTCAGAGTAGCTTAACTCAAGATTCAACAGCAGCAGCAGGAACATCCAAAGGTACCTTCTGGCCACCACCCAGGGAGCTGCCCTCTCCTCCACCTCTACCGCCACCCAAGGCCACAGAGCGCCGTCCACCAGCTGGTCAGGTCTCTCTCTTTCCTCTCTCCTCTCTCTCTCTTCTCTCTCTCCTCTCTCTCCTCTCTACACACACACACACACACACACACACACACACACACACTGGA